GAGCGCGTCTGATTTCGCTCCCTTGGTGACGTGGCAAAGGGATCTCATTACAATATTACCACTCCTTAATCTGTAAGTTTACACCCACAGCGCCGTCATTTGATTTTGCAAGCGGCAACGGTGTACCAGCTCTAATGCCATGGCGAAAGTTTGAGCAAAACAAGCTAACTGTTCTGCCTTTGGCTGCACAGAAGAGCACAGAACACTATTTACAGTCCCAGCCTCAGAGGAGACAAGAGAGCAGTGGATTTATTGATTTATTTAATGTATATTGCTGCTGCCACACAGATCTAAAATAAACATGCAATTTATTTCCCAGCTGTTTATCTTCACAGACATAACCGACTGTTTTTGTAACTCATGTGTGTTTTTAAAGTAAACGTGTGAATGAGAACTGAGTTTAGTACTCACATGCTGTGACAGCCGCTTTCTGTCCGTGTGCTTCGAATGTGTGCACTCAGAAAACCGTATATATCAGAAGTTTAAACTCATATGGTTTGAAACGCATGATTTCAGCACAATAAACATGATAATCAGAACCAAAACAGATGTTTTTAGCAGGTCCTAGCTGAGTACTCACATGCTGTGACAGCCGCTTTCTGTCCGTGTGCTTCGAATGTGTGCACTCAGAAAACCGTATATATCAGAAGTTTAAACTCATATGGTTTGAAACGCATGATTTCAGCACAATAAACATGATAATCAGAACCAAAACAGATGTTTTTAGCAGGTCCGAGCTGTAATGGGGCAGCTCTATTCTGGAAAAGGGGGCGGGGAGCAGCAGCTCATTTGCAATATGATAAATGATATTATATCAAAATGATATTATAAATGATATGTGGAGTATTTTGAGCTGAAACTTCACAGACACATTCTGGGGACACCAGAGACGTATATTACATATTGTAAAAAGGGGCATAATATGTCTCCTTTAAAACTAAAAAATACAAGAAAACTCAATTGCTTGCATCTCAAACTTTAATAAAAATATAATAATTGTGCAGATTAATATTGATGATTGTCTTAAAGCGAATGTGATACATGCAACTCCAGCATTTCCTAGCATTTCCTATATAAATAAATCAAAGATGCATATCGGACAATATTATATTACTATGTATACAGGCCAAATGGAGAGCAGTAATAGTAATAACCGCATTTATGACAGCGTCTCATCCCCCTTTAGCAAACACTGCCCTATAAGGGCTGCAGTTGCAAGGGAATTTAGACTCCACACCTATGAAGTGGTGTAAGCCTTAAACTGCTCAGACCGGACTAGCCTAATCCTTCACAGCATTTTAGCACTATGTAATTATTTTAGAAATAATCTATTACTTTCACAAATTAATTAAATGATCAATTGTATTGGATGATGATATGTATAAATGATTATACATGTATTTAACCAAAAACACTGACACTGACAAAAAAAAAAAAAAAAATTTGTCCTTGTGATGATAAATAGTCCTTGTGGTGGTGACAAATCACAATAGGTTAGTGCACTGGAATTTCTCAAGTCTTGCCACAACATGCACAGAGCTATTATGTTCGGTTTTATGTGCCCTCATTGACTCCAGCTGTGCAGTTATTTAGTAGTTATTACTACGGTTAAATAAAAAGCAGTTATGACAGTTATTGTTTTCTGTGGTTTGTTATACAAAAGGTAGAATGGGCTGAAAGGTGAGGTAAGAAAAAATTGTAAACCCTTGTAGAGAATACCACGCATAGCAGCAGCCTGGTGGATGTGTGATTTTGGTGACAAACGTTGACACATGTTGGCCCCAGGTATTTAACCCTATTCCCTAGTTGTACCACACCTTAAACACACCCAACGAACCAGTCCCCTAAGATTCATATCTTCCCTCCCCCACCCCCCTTGTGCAACACATACATCTTTATTCTCTCTGACTTTCTGCGATCAACAACTGCAGACTGTTCTAGTTTCTCCTTGCTTGACCTTTCACTCCTCCCTGTTATTGATTTATCATAGTATTTTTTTATCTCCTGTCAAGGAGTTAAAAAACCCTCACACTTCTTTCACTCTTTCTGTCAGTCACTTACTTTCTTTGCAGGCCTCAATAGGCCAATACTTCATTGTGGATACCAACAGAAACTCAAGGGATTACAGGGCTGATGCTCTGGTCAGGCCTCTCCATAAGCCTACTTAGCTGCACTAAGGCACATTTTTATTTCCCATTTATGAGGGAGAATTTAATTAAGATGTTTTGAGTGACAATTTTGCATTGGATGTGTGTATAAAAATGCAGTTATTTATTTGTAATAGTTGCAACACAAGTTCATTGTGCCGCTACATTTATGCTAAAAATGACCTATATATATAAAATTCACTGCACTTTCCAGCTAAAATGAACACTAATGACAGTAAAACATCAACAAATTTTATTATTTTTTACATAAATTATGATTATCTATTAATAAAGACTTATTTTTATGGTTCCTTGCACAGTATTGTTAATGTTATGACGTCTGCATCACATAACAAGCGCCGTATTTATGGCTTTTCTGATGTGGTAAGCATATTTGGTAGCTCACCTGGTACAGCATTGCACTCACAATTTGGAGATCTTGGGTGGGATATGATTCCTGTGAAAGATTAGTCATGATAAATGAGCTCATATATTTGCAGAAGCCAGCTAAAAAGTAATCTCTTTATCTCTTTTGGGTACACTATTGGTTAAAGGTCAGGGTAGGGTTTATTGTAGGTTGCAGATGTTATTCTCAAACATGATAGAGCATGAACCATTTAGCAATCTGTTTCGGATAATACTGAACGCACTTTTAGAGGTACTCACTAGACATTTCAATTTGTTGCGAAATGTGCAAAAAGCAACGTAATATCATTTTGCACAAATGATATTATGCCACAGTCATGTTTTTCTAATGAGCCTGGTTTGCAAAACACATACTTAGTAGTTACAGGGTTGCTATTTAGTTTAACATGTATGAGAGACATTCACAATAATATGTATAAACAGTTTAAAGCCAAAAATCTGCAATGATTTACAGTAATCTCAAGACATGTTGTCTAAATGTTTTCAGTCTTAAAATCCTGACAGAACATTATTTAAAGTTTTTACATTCTCGAAATGAACTCAAGTAACACTTTAACTTTACTTTTGCATGCACACACACACTCATTCAGAATCACAACCAGAGTTTTGGCTTTTATCAAGACAGATCTGTTTTTCGGTGAAACATTCTACAAAGGCCAGATGTTTTGCAAAGTGATAAACAAATGAAATTGCAAAATACACATGCATACACTTGCAACTTGCACCAGCACATGCAAATTGAGTGTGCATACAGATATCTGTTATTTAGCAGCAGCACATTCACTTCACCTCAGCCAATCCCAACGCAGAAGATTATTCAACAGCATTTTTCCTCATTCTTTTAACACTTCTTGTGGTATCCCTCCCTCTCCACAATAGCATCTCCACCTTTCATTTGTAGTATAGTACTGGCT